GAGTGTGGAGTCTTAGCCCTAGCCCACCAAGGAAGTCCCAGGGCTTTAGATCTGCTAAGTAGGTCTCTTCCATGCCAGGCGGTGAGCAAAAGCTCACTAAATGATGTTCAGTGATTCAATCAGCCAATGAATAAGTGAAAGAACAAACGTGAAACTGACAAGTATGACTCTCCCCCACTGCACAGACAGGAGCCTGAGGCTCTGCAGAGTCTGTGTCCTTCCACACCAGGGCTGACCCGGCACATGGCAGGGCTGGCCTCCTTCGGAAGGCAGGGAAGGAAACGGAAGGTCGGCGGCCGCCGCAGGGCTGGGCCTCACCTGAGCTGCCTGCGGTTTCCCACGGCCTCACGTGACCTGCAGATTAGCTCAGAGGAGACGTGTGTGCGGGCTGGGGTTTCCTGCCAGGCACAGGGACACATGCAGTTCTCACCCGGCAGCTGGAGGACGTGAATGGGGCTCTCGGGGTCGACTGCTTCTGGATAACCTGGGTCCCCTTCACACCTACGCTCCAGTCCTGGGCCCCTCAAGGGAGAAGAGCTCAAAGTCCCCCAAAACCAGAGGCAGACTTTAAACCAGGGGGTCCTGGGTTGGGACGACTGGCTCTGTCGTCACTTACTGACATGTGGTCCTGGATATCTTTTAAAGGCTTTATTTTTTTGGAATAGTTTTAGGTTTACAGCAAAATTTAGGTACAGAGATTTCCCATGTACTCTCTGCCCCCAGACTGCAGAGCCTCCCCTAGTATCAACATCAGATGCCAGGGTGGTACATCTGTTAAAATTTGTGAACCGACACTGACACCTCCTTATCATACAAAGTCTATAGTTGGCCTTAGGGACGGACATTCTTCGGGTTTGGACCAACCTGTAAGGACATGTATCCACTATGACAACATCATAGAGAAATTTCACTGCCGGAAAAATCCTCCGTGCTCCATCTGTTCATCCCTCCTCCCCTTAACCCTTGGTGACCTCTGATAGCACTGTCTCCATAGTTCTGCCTTTTCCAAAATGTCATCAAGTTGGACTCACACAGTATGTAGCCTTTTCGAACTGGCTTCTTTCACTTAGTAATATGCACTTATGTTTCCTGACTCTTAATGGCTTAATATTAATAGTTCCTTTCTTTTTAGCACTGAATAACATTCTACTGTATGGCTACACCATAGTTTATCCACTCACTGAAGGCCACCTTGGTTGCTTCCAAGTTCTGGCAAAATGACTAAAGCTGCTATAAATATTCGTATGCAGGTTTTGCACAGATTTAAGTTTCAGCTCTTCTGGGTAAATACCAAGGAGAGTGCTTGCTGGATTGTATGGTAAGAGTATGTTTAATTTTGTAAGAAATCTATAAGCTGTCTTCCAGAGTGACTGCACCATTCTGCGTTCCCACCTGCAATCAATGAGAACTCCTGTTGCTTCACGTCTTTGCCAGCATTGGGTGATGTCAGTGTTCTGGATTTTGGCCATTCTAATAGGTATATAATGGTATCGCGTTGTGGTATTGCATTTCCCTAATAATATTGGAGGCAAGGTATGTTTCATATGCTTATTTGCCATTTGTGTATCTTCTTTGGTCAGGTATCTATTAGGATATCTGGCCGGGCCTGTTTTATAACCTCTCTGCTCCTCAGTTTCCACTTCCATAAAGTGGCAAAAATAATACCTATCTGTTCTAGTTCTGGTCCCAGGAAAAATAGAATTTGCCCCAGGTGGTCCAAATAAGTCACGTGACTAAAGGGACTGCTTACAGAGGTGCGGCAGTTTCAGGAGCACCCAGAGATTCGTGATGGCAGGAAGCTGCTTCCATCCTTGGGCTGGAGGAACTATTAATAGCAGAGGAAATAATGTTTGCAGCAGAAGCTGGTGGGAGCTAGTCACAGAGGGCTTCCCAGCCAGAGCTGTGGTCATGGAGGTGAACAGATGGTGTCCATGTACAGCACATGGCAACAGGAGGAAAGGTCCCATCCTCTCTCCCTCCCCCTCTGATCTCCAGCTGTTGTCCCCACTGGCCAAACCCAAACGGGCATCAGCAGGGGATGCAGTCCACAGGGCTGGCACAGAGGCTGGATCTAGGGGTGGCAAGGGATACCACAAGTGACAAGTGACTGGCACCGCTCCTCGTGGGGTCATTCATCCACGCATTCTTTCAACAAACATCTATCTGGCACCTTACAAGTGCCAAACACTGCCCTAACCACCAGGAACCCTTTGGAGGAAGAAAAGAGACAAATCCCCACCTTGGGGAACTTACATTCTACTATCAAACTATGGGCTTCCTTGGTGGCCCAGTCGTAAAGAATCTACCTGCCAAGGCAGGAGGGTTTGATCCCTGGGTCAGGAAGATCCCTTGGAGAAGGAAACGGCAACCCACTCCAGTATTCTTGCCTGGGAAATCCCATGGACAGAGGAGCCTGGTGGGCTACAGTCCACGGGGTTGCAAAACAGTCAAACACAACTTAGTGACTGAACAACAACAATCAAACTATATAATAAAGAAATAACCACTGCAGAATGTAATGCCAAGTGCAAGTACTAAGAAGTCAAAGGAAGCAAGGCAAAAGAAGAGAACGGTGGGGCAATGTTAGATAGTTCAGAAAACATGCTAGAAATTCCCAGGACACATTCCATGTGCTTGCTCCGGCTGGTCCCTCCATCCCGATACCCCCTCCCACCTTGGGGATGCCAGGCCTGCTGCCCAGGCAGAGGTGCTCATCCCTGGGCCGTGGAGCACCCCTTTAGCACACTCCCTCTCCCGGCTTAGTCACCAGGAACGACTGCCATCCGACGGGCCCCGTTATGCCACTATTTCTGGGGGTTGGGTAGCTTAGCTGAAACCAGCACAATGATGGGAAAGATGTTTCAGTCCTGAACATGGACATACATATTTGCATAACTGCATTTCAAAACTTCACAACAATCACTACAGGTTAAAACATACAAGAACCGGTACCCATCTCTGCCAGCCCACCCCAGCCAGGCCACCTGGGCCTGGCAGCACTGGACTTGGCTTCCAACCAGCACTGCCTGTCGCTCTAACCCTGCAGAGAATTCCTGGTCCAGGAGTCCCTCCCACCCCCAACACTGTCAAAGAGGAGACAGAGTGAGTGTCTTTAAGTGAAGGGTGAAAAGAAGCCCTTTCAGACACTCTGGGGTGTGGAACTGGGGCGCTGGGTGTAGGGTGCTGGGTGTGGGGGTATGGGGGTGTTGGCTATTTCCACCGGAAGGGAACTTTTCAAACGTCCTGGGAGCTGGGGAATCACCAGGAAGGCTTGCTAAATCCCAGGTTCCTAGGCTCCATCTCCAGTTTCTGTAGGTCTGGGTGAGGCCGAGAATTTCCAGTTTCTGTTAAGTTCCAGGGTGATGCCCACGAAGCAATCGGCCACTCTGTGACGACCGCAAGCCCTGGGGTATTTAGGTGCTGTGAGAGTTTGTCTGTCCCATCCTTCCCCTCTCCGCTCCACCCCACGGGTCCCACTCCACTCCCAGCAAAACCCCAAGCCCCAAGGCAGGGACTGAATCTGAGCCTCTGATCTTTCTTCTCAGCTCCTGGAGCCCCGCGCGCAGGTTGCGGCTTGGGGAGGGGGCGCTCAGTGGGTGTTCGAGAGCGCCGAGGAGAGATGGATTACTGGCCCGAGAGCCGATGGGGCCGCCCGGGTGGCCGGGGACGCCCCCTTGCCCGGCGGGCGCCGCCCACAGCCTGCGCAGTGCACCCGGATGGGGGGATCCGGGGAGGGCACCCCCAGCTCGCGGCTCCCAGCTCCGGCGGGTCCCGGCCCCCCGGCCACCGCAGTGGGTGGGCGTGCCCGCGGCCCAGGCGGCCGCCTCCCGCCGGCCTCCGGCGGCCCCGGCGGCCCGGTGGCCGCGGCCGCGTCGGGCGCCCTGCGCGGGCCCGGGGGGCGGAGCGGGGCGGGGCCACCGCGGCCCCCTCCCCCGGCCCCGGGCTCCGGCTCTGCGCGGCGGCAGCGGCGGCGGAGGCGGCGCGGGGACCAAGGTGAGCGGCGGCGATGGGTCCGGGAGGCCCCCGCCGCGGGAGGGGGCCGGGGGAGGCGCGCGCGCCCCTCGGAGGGCTGGGGAGGGCCAGGCGGCGCCGCCGGGGTGGCGTGTGCGCGCGCGCGGGCGCGTGTCGCGTCGGGTGCGGGGACATGGGGTGGGGTGGGGGTCGGGCTGTCCCCTTGGTTGGGGGTCCAGCCTCTCCCACCCCGGTCTCCCGGGACCTCCGAGCTCATCTTCTCTCTCTCTGGACGCGACCCCCCCCCCCCCACCTCGCCCCACTCCGCCCGGCTTCTCTGTCTCTGAGTTTCTCTCTGTCTCTGTGGGTGGGTCTCTGCATGTCCGTCCAGCCGCTTGTCCAGCTGCCTCTTTCCTGGTCGCCCTCCCTACCCCACCCCGTCGCTGTCCCCTCCCCCTCGCAGCTCTCCCCTCTCTTCCCACTGCCCCCCCTTAACAGAGCGAACAAAGATGGTCGAGGGAGGGAGACACCTCGTTTCTGAGCCCTGTCCTGGCTCAGCGCGGGGCCCCACCCCTCTGGCCTGTGGCCGGGGCCTGCCGCCACCTTCCTGCAGGGAGCTGGCCTGCAGAGCTGTGGGGGTGGGCTGGGGGCAGCAGGCACGTCTGAGGGCAGAGGCCCCCCCGCCCCCCACAGCGGGAGCGTGTAGAACCTTGTGCCCACCACCTGGGGAGCCCCCTCCCATCCCTTGAGAGGTGGCACTTGAGGCGGACCTGCCCGAACACAGTCAGATCTGACTCTGGACCCTTTGCCCTCGGGCAAAATCAGATCATTCCCTGGACCCGGTTGGCATGAGCAGCACCTGACAGCTTTCTAAGATTTTTTTTCCAATGGAGCCGAGGTAGGGGAGAACTTGCTGGGGCGGGGGAGGGTCCCTGGTCCCCGGGCCCTAGGGTGTGGTCCAGCCCTGCTCAGCCAGGCCACTTCCTGAGGGCGACCTCCATTTCCCCCTCCATGGCTCGGGGCGGCAGTCAGAGCTGCAGGCAGCTGCCATGAGGACCCCGTGGGACGGCCATCGCGTCCCGGTGATTAGGTATGCTCGTGGCGAGACCAGGGCTGCACCCCGGGATCCCAGGTCCCAGTCCCTGGACTGCATCTGGAGGGGGAGGGGAGCGCCCTGTGACCTCTTAGACCTGCTGCAAGGCCCAACCCAAGACTTCTCCTGGAGCTCTGGGAGAAGAGGGTGGCACCTCTAGACCGTCCTCTTGAACGACAGTGCCTGATACAATGCTGACTCCTGGGCTCCTGTCCTGGCCTCTGATGGGGCACCAGGCATCTGCATTTTACAGCTCCCCTCCGCCCTTCTGATGCACTTCAGGTGTGAGCGCTGCTGGGTGGTGGCACTGGGTGATCAGACAAGGTCACGTGGCTCCCTCTGGCTGGCAGGTGGTGAGGCAGACCCAAGAGGAGCCCATCCTAGGGGCATGGCCTTGCTGTGTCCCTGGGCAAGCCACTTGCCCTCTTTGAGCCCAAGTCCGATCCATCAGAGGAGGTTCAGGCCTCCTCAGCGACTTTACTGCTGAATGGGCTGGGGTTCTGAGGCGTTGTTTAAACGGAGGTGAGGGGGTGCGAAAACCCAAGCAGGCCTGGGTCAGCATCCCAGGACCCCCGCTGGCTGGCTGTGTGGCCCTGGGCAAGTCACTCGGCTTCTCTGGGCCTCAGGTTCCTTATCTGGAAACTGGGAACCACAGCATTACCAACTCCTGGGGGGTGGTCGGGGTCCAAAGAGGCACCACGCCCTGGCACGGCAGAAGTCTATCTCGGATGGGGGGCTGTGGGGGGTTGGGCACCCGTCGTGCCAGTGGCTGGGACTCCTTGTGTCTCAGCTGTCCTCCCTGTCTGGTGATGGGAACGGTCACATGGACGCAATTTCTCAGCAGCAGGGAAAGTGGTCTGTGCAGAAACGTTTGCTAGCTAATGGGGTTTTGGTTTCTAATGGGCGGCTTAAAGGACCTGTGGATGGCCATGCGGAATTGCCCAGACGGCACCAGGCAGCACTTGATGGCATCCGGCTGGGTGCCCGTGCCAGCTCTCTTGCTCAAGGCAGGCACTGGGAGACAGCACGTTTGTCTGCAGGGTGACCCCTGGCAGATTCAGGAGAGCGGAAACCCAGGATAGGCCGGGACGGGGGAGGAAGGAGAAAGCCCTGAGCCTTCGCCTGCTACCCCCAGTGGTGGGCATTCATGGACGTGAACAAAATCATCTTTGGGACATCTGTGAGGGGAGTAGAGCTCTCGAGATGCTCAGAGAGAGACAGGAAAAGTCATTCATTCATTCATTCCCCAGAGCCTTCTCCAGGCCTGTTGGGTAGCGAGGGTCCCCAGGGAGGCAGAGAAACCTACCCAGAAATGGGGAGGCCACAGACGTGAGCTGGTTGGGGATCTGTTGGGTCAGACGGGCTGTCAGTGGTCCTCCGGGTGAAAATCGGGTTCAGGATATCCTACGACAGGACTCACCCCCAAGGCCCAGGGTGGCCCTCAGGGATACAGATACTGAGAAGAACCAGGGTTGTAGTCAGGAGATGTGAATTAGGGCTGTGGGCTATGATAAAGACCTGGGTTAGTGGGACAAGGAGGTGACTTCCTGGTGACAGTATAACCTTTTTTTTTTTTTAACCACATCCCTCTTTTGTCTCAAAGTCGAACTTCAGTGGGGGGAGCACCTGGGTGGGGGGTCTTTGAACTTGGTGTGAGCAGAGTTCTGGTGACTCAGGAATCCTAATGTCTCAGGGGAGCAGCCTAGGGGGCACTGCCCATAAGACTTGGCTCTGACCCCAGAGCCCAGGTCCTGGGTGGCCTGGAGGAGGAGCCAGCAGGGGCCGACGGAGGGCCGCAAAGGCTAGAGACCCGAGAGCCAGGCCCACCTGGCACAGTTTATAGCTGTGTGACTGCGGGAAAGTTGCCTAACCTCTCTGAGCTTCAGTGCTCTCATCTGCGTAGCATGGATTGGAACACTCAGCTCAGGTGAAGGCCTGGGTTCTGGAGACAGGCTGCTTGGGTTCAAATCTCGTCCTCTCCTCTCACCAGCTGTGTGACATCTCTGTGTGCCTCAGTTTTTTCATCTGTGAAGTGGGGTGCTCGTGAGGACGACGTGGCTTCAGGAAAGGGCCCCAGAAGGACAGGGTGCCCTGTCCCGGGGTGGTCGAGTGGACAGTGACACGGTCCTGCAGTGACAGTGACTTGTAGCCAGGCTGGCCCGGCCTGGGCCCTGGGCTTCCTGTCAATATCAGTGTGAATGTTGGCATTGGAACCCACTTCTGGGGTCACATGATGACAGTGGGGGCTGAGACGTGTGCAGGGCCCCTCAGTACCCGGCGTGGGGAAGCCCTCAAGTGATGCCAGCCCCCATCTCTACCCTCTGGGGAGAGCAGAGGGGACCGAGGACACGTTTGCTACTGCGTTATTGCCGACCAAACCCAGAGGCAAGTGGGGAGGGGCTGGGGCCAAGTCCCTTCTGAAAAGGTTATCAAGAAAATCTGTGTGGTTTGTTGCAGCGACAGGTTTTGCCCTCCGGGATTCTGACTCCAAAGCGTGGACTTGCCTCCAGAAGGAAGGAGGGGTTGACCATTCCCTGAACACTTAACTGTGTGCCAGGCCCTGTGCGAAGTCTTCCCCAGGCACCATCCCAGCCACCATCCTAGCCAACTCAGGAGGCAGTCGTGGCCATGCCCAGTTAACAGATAGGCAGACTAAGGCTCACAGAGGCCAAGAGCTGCCCGGAGACCCTGGCAGCAAGAGGCAGGGCTGGGGCTCAAACCCCTGGGTCTCTGGCTTGAGGTATGCTTGCCGCTTTCCACGATGCTACATGCCTTAAGGTGAGGGAATGTCACCAAGACGCCTCACCATCAGGAGCTGCCACTATGGGCTCACCAACCCCAGCAGGGCTCCTGCTAATTTCTAGAAGGTTCTTGAAGTTTTGCTCTCTGTGCCTTCGGCTAGACTGGTTAAAGGCCTTCTTTATGTTGCCAAAGCAGTCTCTCCAGCAAAATCAATCTGCCTAGAGCCACTTACACCCATTTGAGTCTGCAATGGCTTATTCTCTGTGCCTCAGTTTTCAAACCTGTGGAATGGGAATTTTTATATCTGCACTACTTAGCTTCCCCCGGTGAATAGGTAAAACCGTGAAATAATAATAGTCAACATAGCCCTTGACAGGTATCTGGAAAGCATCTTCTGTATTTGCTCTCATTTAACCCTCTGAGACTTCATGAGGTCATTGTATCAGATGAGGACGGCAAACCAGAGAGGTGAGGATCTTGTCCAAGTTCACACAGATGGTGAGGCTTTAGGTCTGATTAAGATGGACTGAAAACCAGCTATTGAGGCCACTCCTTGGTGGAGAGACATGAAGCTCCTTGTTTGATTTTCCCCAGTGACAGGGAGCTCACTACCTCATGAGCTCCTGTTGATTGTCAGTGCAGGACTTCAGTAGGTGGTGGTGATCGTCCCTGCTACAGGAGACTCCACACAGGAGAAGAACCTGAGCTTGACTTTGGCCGTGCTGGGTTTGCTGGCGGGCCCAACTGTGGAGAGGTGGAGAGGGTGTTTCCAGGTCCTTCTTCCCTCACGATGGTGTCCATCTCGTCCCTCCCACAGACCTGATCTGAGGCTGAGTGAGGAGCAAACTTTCAGCACAGGGCGGTCACAAGGTGCCCAATAAATCCTTGCAGTGGACCAGCCCTGTTTCTAAAGAAAATTTAAGTTATAAAACCTACACAGCTGTGTTGTACAAAGTCTGGAAAATAAGCCCCAGTTTTACCTATAAACTCTGTCCCCTGAGCATCATCATTTTGTATATCATTTCCAGTCTGGTTTAAATAAACGCGTCTTGACGTAGAACTGTTTTCCCATGACGTCATCACACCACACATAGCCGCGATCCTGTTCTTTTTCACTAACTGTAATCCTACAAGTGTTTCCCCCGATTCCTTCAAAAGTCCGTTAGTTCTAAAGAGTGGCGATTTACTGGCTGCATGGTACCCTGTGGATCTTTGTCGTCTGACTTGGACCGTCCCCCTTTTGGTGGCGTCTCCACGTGGACACTGATGTGAAAAGCAGATGTGGACCCCGAGGTCACACCCCAGAGGTCCAGCAGGACAGCAGGTCGGCCCCGCCAAGCTGTGTGAGCTTGGGCAGAGTCCTGCCCCCTGAGTCTCAGGCTCCTGCTCTGCTGTGAAACGGGGGTGAGAACCTCACGTCACGGGGCCCTGGGAGGCGTAAGTGAAGGGCTGTGATGTCAGTCGCCTGGCCTTGGCAGGGTCTTGAAGTGTGGTAGCTGTTATTCCTGCTGCTGTTATTATTATTATTGTTATTTAGGCCCTATCTCCCCAGTTAAATTGTGGAGCCCTGCAAGCAGGAGCCGGGCTCCGTACTTTCCTGCCTCCCACTCCTAGACATACTCCTTCGTATCTATTGATTTCATTCCTGACATTCAGGCCCCTTCAAAAAGAATGAGTCTCCATGTGGACCAAGAGCTGGGAGACGTTTCACTTACAGTCTCACCTGGTGCCCCATGAGTGGCGATCATCGGCCCCATTTTAGAAATGGCTCAGAGAGGGCAATGGCCCTGCCCAAGGCCACACTGTGGGAAGAAGAGAGCCAGGAATACTTCCTGGAGGAGGTGGCAGTGGCACGCGGCCGGCAGCATGGGCCGTCTGACCAAGCCAAGGGGCAGAGTGCTGGTGTTCTGGGGGTGGTGCAGAGGAGCCTCAGAGCTCTCCAGGGCAGGGCGGAGCCCAGCACTGTGGGGGGGCGGAGTGTGAGTGAGGCTCCGGGGGGGCATCTGCTGAGCTGAGCTGAGCTGACCTGACGTGACACCAGGGCAAGAATGAGCTAGCCTTCTGGGCTCCTGACCCCGCCTGCACCCCCCCACCCAGCCACGTCCTTCTGTCCGGGCAGGAACGGGTGCTCTGCGGGATCCAAAGCTGCAGGCACCTTCCTGGGGCCTGCTCTGTGAGCAGTGATAAAATATTTATCAGAGATGCCGGCGGCCAGGCTTCCCCGCACAGGGTACCGCTGGGGGTGGCTCACCCTG